GTAACGCCCATTTTAATTATTTTTAGTTCCGGTGTTATTTTATTCGTCAACGTGTGTTGGTGTGGAAATTGGTGAAGAAATAGAGGCACAATATTAATATTGGATAATCGATAATGGTAATAATTAATAATTAATATTAATGTCGATATTATTATTATTATTATTATTATTATTATTAATATTATGAGATTATTAATATTATTTGGAAATATAAAGAAAATGAGATTATTATTTATTTGGAATAAAAAGTGGATTAATTGGGATAAGGGGCATGTTTGGCATTTGGTATTAGAATTGGAAACAAGAAGAACACGGTTGGGGAAAAGAGAAGCACGGTTGATAGAGCAAGCTTGAGGAACGATCAAAGTGAACGATCCAGAGCAAGGAGTGCATTAAGGTTGTGATTTTGTGAAGGCTCATCATCATCAGAATTTCATTCGAGGTAAGGGGGGGATTGATCGGTTAATTTGGTAATTGCATGAATAATTGGTAGAAGGGGAAAATCCCTAATCCCCATAGAATGATGTTGAATTGATGATGGTTGCATGTTGATAATTTTGTTATGATTATAGTTATCATGTTGAAATTCGTTGCATGTGGTTATTTGGTGATTTGGGGTTTCCGGTAAAATTCGGAGTTAATGCCGGAAGTTGAAGAATTGAGTAGAACTGACGATTTATCGAGTATGAATTAGGATAATCGGTGTAGTCTTGTGGGATAGTACTGTATTGGTATGGTGTAGGATTTCGTGGGATTTAATCGGACGAAATCGGAGTATGGGGTTGTTTCTGAACAGCAGTTTTTCTCCAGAATTCGCGTGTATTCGCTGGGCGAATGGGGGCGAGCCTTCGCCAGGTTTCGCCAGGCGAACTGGGCAGCGAATGCTGCCTGTTGCTTCTGTTTGGCTTCGCTAAGGGTTTCGCCGGGCGAGTCCCAGCGAGTGTTTGTTGTGGGGCTTCGCCAGGCGAATGGCAGCGAGCATGACAACATTTTATGGTTTTTATGCTGTGTTGTTCCGTTTCTCGCGTGGTTGGACCCTTGTTGGTCGTGAGCGAGTACGTGGTTATTGTGGATCGGTTGAGAGCATGAAGGTGATGTAGGGAGTGTGTGCTTGAATATTCATTGATATGAACGATTGAACCGAAGTACGCTGTGATGCCTAAAGTGGCTATGTATCCTTCGATTAGGAATGAATATGTGTGACACGGGAGTGTGATTCTCGTGGTAATTGTATAACCGAATAAGTGACCTGATATACGTTATGGGTGTATGTGATATTGTAAGAAACTCTTGAGATGTGATTGTATGAGATTCAGGTGATAGGTGGCGAGCATAGCAGAACTTTGTTTTCCCTAGAACTGTGTGCAGCTGTGATTGCTGAGCGTGGCCAGTCTGAAGTACCGTGATGATTTATGGGTGCTGGGTGCATGTTGGGTGTTAGAGGGCTATGTGGCCGACGTTTAACGCATTCGACGTGATCGGTGGATTATGTGGTATAATTATATGTGTGTGCTATAAGTTGTGTGCACCGTGGGTGCTGTGTTGATGAGTGAGATATCTTTGATATATGATAAATTATGATCAGTAGGATCGATACGCTTTATATGCGTTGTGATTATGTGTTGTTGTGTGACGATTGGATCGGTAGGATCAGATGCACTCGTGTGCTTAATATGTATGTGATATCTGATTGGATCGGTAGGATCGGTATGCCTTATGTGCATAGTGTGTGATATGTTGTGTGGTAGTGTGATCAGTAGGATCGTTACGCCTAGTGCGCGTGGTATTGATGTGTTGTGTGCGAGATATGAGGATCAATATGATCGTTACGCCTTGAGTGTGTTGTGTTGGTGTGTTGTGGTGAGTGGATCTGTGGGGATCGGTACGCTTATTACGCATTGTGCTTATGTGCGGTTATGTGATATATTTGGGGTCAGAAGGACCGACAGGCCTTGTGTGCATTGTATGTGATAAGTTTTATGGTGAGTTGATCCATGGAATCGATGCACTGTGTGTGTTTGTGTATGTATGCAGATTATGATGCGATGGACCAGTGGGGTCGTGTGCACTGTGTGTGCTATGTGTTTATGCATAGTGTCTTGCATAGCGTGTGGACGTGAGGCCTGTGTGGCTCACGTGCTCCAAATGGGGAGCATGTGGATGTGAGGCCTGCGTGGCTCACGTGCTCTAAATGGGGAGCGTGTGGACGCAGTGTATGATTCACTGGCGTGCTCCAGTGGGGAGCGTGGACGGGAATTTGGATTGTTGCTCGGAAGGAGTGTATGCGACCACCCGTGTCCCAAGAGGGGGACGTTGATATGTGATTATATGAGCTCATGAGGAGCGTGGTAGGAAAGATCGTTGCTCAAAGGGAGTGTATGCGATCTATCCTGAGTTGAGTCGGTACTGCATTTTGTGGAGTCTAGTGCATGTGTTGCATTGTTATTATGTGTTGTGGTTGTTGATGATTGGGACAGTAGGTCCGGGTGTGAGAAATATGAAATAATTGATTTATTGTTTTCTGCCTTTTATTTCATGTATGTTTATACCATTAATATTTGATCGTGAATCTCACCCCTTTGTTGTTGTTGTGGTCTGTGCTTCTTCGGAAGTACAGACAATCCAGGTGTTTAGCTAGCTTGGATTGTGGCGTCGTTGTAGGACATGCTCTGATACGTAACACCGAGGCTTTTGGGAGTTGTTGTCATTTGTTGTTTATGTGTGCCCTTGTGGCGTATCTGTTCTTTTGTGGGATGTGTGATGATGTTTGATGGATATATATATATATATATATATATATATATATATATATATATATATATATATATATATATATATATATATATATATATATATATATATATATATATATATATATATATATATATATATATATATATATATATATATATATATATATATATATATATATATATATATATATATATATATATATATATATATATATATATATATTTTGGACAGATGGCCGATTTTTGTATATATGATGATGTATATATACATGTTATGTGGTTCATGGCAGACTAATTTTATTTTTCCGCTGCAATATTATTGAAAATGATTTTGAGAAATGTTATGTGGAATCTTGTGGAAAAATTGTGACATCCGGTAAGTGGGAGAAACTCTGATATGTGCTTATTTTAATCTTTTTATTTTATTTTGGGAAACGGGGTATTACAAGTACATGTCCTTAAACGTCCACTCAATGTAACTCAACTTGTATCTTGGATCAAGAATAATACCAAAATATATCATCTTGTTCATCTTATCAGCATTCCCCCAATATCTATTATACTTCTCCATCATATCCCCACCAACACTTGCAAAAACATCATTTAAGCTCATTGTAGCTTGTTTCAACTTACAATAAATGGCAGACACTTGGTGAAAATAAGTATGCAGACTCACACTTTGAGAGGTGGAAAAATATTAGTTGCTTCGTAGAATAACTTTAGAAAAGCACTAAAAGCCCTAGTAGTGTCCCAATAATCACTACTAGGGGGATTACATTTTCCAAAGAACTCCCTATAACTCGACTCTTCATCCTCAAGCTTTTCAAAAGCGAGTTGAAACTTCTCTGCAGCCTCTAGCATTAAATATGCCGCGTTCCAACGAGTAAAAACATCAAAACATACTAATTTTTTGCAAGTTATCCCAACAAATTCAATGCATTCTTTAAACTTGGTTGCCCTATGAGGTGAGAACTTAACAAATCTAACAGCATCCCTAACACTAGTAACAGATAAATGTTTATCTTTCAAACCCTCATTTACCACCAAGTTCAAAATGTGAGCAGAACACCTCATATGAAAACACTTTCCATCCCTCATCAACCCATTCATATTTGCAACCTTTTTCTTTAGATATGTCACATCAACATCATTGGAAGTGGCATTATCAACAGTTATGGTTGACACATTTCTGATTCCCCAATCCCTCAACACTTCTTCAATCTTCCTACCAACAGTTTCACCCTTGTGGTTTGGAATTATGGCGAAGCTTATAATTCTTTTTTGATACTTCCAATCGTTATCCACAAAGTGTGCAGTAAGGGTCAAATAATTGAGATTTTGTATAGAAGTCTAACAATCAGTAGTAAGTGCTACCCTATTGCAGTCAGACTTAAAAAAGGCCTTTAACTTTTGTTTTTCATCCAAGTGTAGCTGAAAACAGTCCCTAGCTACCGTACGCCTAGATGGGATGGTAAATTGGGGTTGCATTACTTTGGAATAAAATTTAAACCCTTCACCTTCTACTGCACTAAATGGCTTCTCATCTAGAACTACAAAAACAGACAACGCACTTCTACAAGCTTTCTTGTCAAACCTAGAGCTAACTTGAACCAAGTTACCATCTACAATTGGGTATGTTAGAATAGTTTGTGTGGGGTCAGTTGACACAACAAGGGGCTTCTTAGGACATTTTAAAATATGATGGTTTAGGTTGGTGGTGCCATGAGTCCTAGGGTCACACAAGTATTTTTTATGGCAGTGTTTGCAGGCTGCAGTGGATGCATCAACAAGGTCATCAGGTAATCTAACAAAGTGTTCCCAACAAGCGGATGATTGCCTAGAACCACTTGCACTAAATTTCCTCTTTTTTGTAGGCTGTGTAGTTGAACCTACTTCATTAACCGGTGGATTTTGATTAGGCTCACCAGTCGCTGAAATAATGAAGGAGCCATTATCAAAAACTACCAATCGACGTTCCAATTCACTTAAAAACTATGATCAAAATCATATTTATAAATACATACACTTAAAGTCATACTAGAACATACTGTGTGTATTGTAAAGAAATTACCTTGATGCATTCCACTCTGACCTTGGTCCATTCCTCTTCAAACCTTCGATGTCACTTTCGAGTCAAACTTCCAAAAGTCTTCAAACCTTCATAAGAAACAGCAAAGATATGAGTCAGAAGAGAAATGAAAGAGACCGATTGAAGATATGAGACAAAGATGTGAGTTAGAACTTCAG